CTACATAAAGATTTGTGCCATGACTAACATTAGTATGTTTCCGAAAGTTGGGTGAACATGTCTGGAACCTAATTATGAATAATAGAGATTGCTAAAGCGTGATAGTGTCAGTGATTTGTTTTCATCGGGAAAATTTTGCGCTATGAAAACATTTTACGTATACGTATACGTCACGTAGTGTGCGTACGATAAACGTCAGCAATCTCTATAAAGGAACTTATTTTCTAAATTCAAAAAATGAATCTTAATTTTAGGATTCATTAAATAACCGATAACCAATGAATTGTTAATTTTGTAGTTAAGTTTCTAAACCATTTATTTTGTTATTAATATATTAGTTCTACGTCAACAATGCGGTAGTGCTTCGGACACAATCCTCATTTTTTCCTTATTCTCTTCTCTCGTCTTTCACCTGACATAACTTTTTTAAATCAGCACGAATCGTGATGAAACTTTCAACACTGCAAGAGGAGCTCTTTTAAGGCTCTGAACCATTTGGCGAATTTTTTTAACTTTTGGTTAAAATTTGACAGATGGAAAGTTATTGATTAACCCTGCTATCCGAGCATGGTTATTTCTGACAGACAAGAAGTTAAATTTTGACAACCGTGGCTGAGTTCTGCTCGAAAACCGATCGATCGGTAGCACAGGGATTTTCGAACATAAGAAATAACTTTCGAAATGTCACTTTTAACCACGAGTTAAATTTAACTCGGCAAATGGTTCACAGCCTAAAACTCACTTCTGTCAAAACATGGCTGCTATAAAATAAATTCTGTGTTGATATTACTGACTGGACCTAGCTTTATACTAAATCAGAGTACAAGAGTATGTTGAGTTTATAAAACTTCAAGACTGTAACCGTTTGTTACAAAACATATTAGATTTTTAATTTGTGCATAGTTGTTAAATGTACCGTCACGTGAGTCGAGTTTCGAACGCCTTTGGATACGGTTGTGTGTTAAGTTCGTTCTCTGTTTTGTGCGTGCATTCGCTTTCATAGTTTTCGGCTGCATTTACCGGATTAGCGGTGGCACTCTGCCTCCCGGACGGCTATACGTGTGTTTTCTCGCTTTCCGAGAAGTTTTAGAATCGAGAAAGAAAACATGATTAATCATGTTTGCAAAATTGCAAGCATCAGTAGATTTGGCGCTGCATGGTTTGATTGTTTCTCCCGGACCAGAAATTTGTGGCATCGCGAGTGAAAATTTTAATTTCTGTTTATTTACGCGGTGATGAGAATGGCGCTGATCTATTGTCAGGGTTTTGCGATGAAAAAGAAAAGTGAAGAAAAGTGATATTTGGTTGTTGTGTGGTTGGAGTGGAGGGAAAAAAAATGTGTGGAAGCTTAGGGAATGCGCTCCCGGGTGAAGTGATTTGGTGAGTACGTTCCAGTTGAAGATTGTTGACAAGTGTATTTGTGGTGATGCAAATTATGGTTTAGATGACGCATGGCTTCAAACATTTTGTGTATCCAAATAAAACATATTACATACTAAATACGTACAGGGCATCGTCTGCTGACCATTGCCACGGGTATATCGTGGGAGTCCCAGGTACCCGGTTCAAGCTTTAGTTGGCGGCGGTGGCTCTTCTTGACCTTCTACCCCCTGAGTAGTTAGTGTGAATAAGGGCGTCTATGTGATGTTTTGCTGTACCTGTTGTGGACATTTAGTGCATCCTGTTCCCTTAATTTGTTGAGGACACCCTGTCTTGCCTCAAAAGTTACCCTTTTTGAAGTACTAGTCTTCACAACATAAAGGGCACCATTACGGAGCATGAGATTTGATCAAATTATTCGCAGTTCTACTTGTCCAACGCCCCCGGCTGGGTGAGGGATAGAGGATGACACACACACACACACACAGTTGTTAAATGTACCGTCACGTCTCTTAAGGTTATTTGGTGTTGGATTAGTAGGGTTAGTAGTCGTTTTTTAAAATTGTTAATTTGTTAGTAGGAATAATTGTTTTAAATTTGAAAATTGTATAAAACCGTACAACAGTACAGAGGGTATGAGTATTCTATCAGTGGGTACAACAACATTCGGGCAAAATTGTGATTTCAAAATGGGTGGAAAATAACGTCTCACGAGAAGAGCAATGGGATAGGAAAAGCACGAAGGAAAACCGCCATTCCTCAATCAGTATCTGGCGTTCGTGTGCTTCGGATCGTTAAAACCAAGTGTCCTTAAAGTAATACAAAGTGAGTGGTGAATCGCGGGAATATCTATCTGTTCAATCAGGACCTTTTTGTGGTACCATTCGGTACAGCGCCATTTTGTGAACCCACCGACTAAGTCGGTCAGGAAGCACTCGAGTCGGATTATTGGTCCTTAGTGGTTATTAATCCTAGCAGTAAAGGACATCATTTCGCTTTGGCATTGCAAGGTCAAAATTGCCGCATTCCTCGGGCCAAGACGGCTCTAAACGTAAAAGAGGACCCCTCTCAGCATAGTCACTCCGGCCTTGCCTGGACTCTGGTGATTCTTGTCAACGCGGGTAGACGCCAGGAGACCGCAGATCGCCATCAAGTCAAGTCGATCTGTTGACCGATCCACTAGCAAGTAAATTCAAACATCACCACCCTGTCAGGCTTGATTCCCCCGACGTCAAGCTCGTCGTACGTAGGATCATCGGCGAGTGCTCGCACATCGGCAGAGTAGTCTTCGGCACAGCAGAATCAACGGCAGCAGTTCAGTACCGGCACGTCAAACCCTCATAGTAAAAACCCACTGTACACCCATAAAATTCAACAGAACTGCTATTAGAAATCCAATCCACACCTGCTATAGCTTTTATTTATAAATAATTAGTATACACCCTTTGATTACTGTGTCACTTAAACTTTTGATAGCTTTTAGTCAGGTGACAGTACTGAACATGAGGATCGCGAAGCCCCTCCAGATTACCCAGTAGTAAGCCGACCTTGAGACACAGCTCGAGATGTTTCTTGCTACTGAGCGTTTTTACCGGGATACAGACAGTAGAGTTAAAAGACCCAAACTACAGGTTAATTTGGAGAACCCGAAATACCTTTGATAATATAAGTATGCATCCCATATGATTCTATGGAGCTCCACGAAGTTCTATTTGTTCTCGCGTATCATTTGAAAAGGGCCCATCCTCGTTGATCGATTCTCTTCATCGACTTTCTCTTTGGTTTACCACGGCAACATAAACGAAGTTCTCGCTAAGCTCGCAGCATAGTTCGACAGAAGATGATGTTAGCTTGCGCCTGAAACAACACACTGATTGGATTATTCATTGCAAATTTTGCGGTCGGGTTATTCGCGAAAGAGAAAACAGATGAAGAGAATTGATCAACAATGATAGGCCCTTTTCTCGTGTTGCACGATAGTTCAAAAATTCACTTATAGCGAATTCGTTTACTATGATACCTGGATCGGGTATCAAGATTGGGTCTGCTTGTTTTCTGACACACGTCGTTTGATCGTTTGTTTTTAAAATCCAGCTCAGGTTGAGGTTCCCACTGACAAAAAGTTCGGTTAGTCTAGTCGGTTTAGTCTATAGAACTAAACTCTAGACACTTTAATCGCTCTTTCATCCGTGGTCAACTATTCTTCCTAATGTGACCACGACCAGAACGAAAAACCGTCAACAATATGGTATGTTTTTTTAGTTTTCTCTGTCCGGACAGTCATCATACAGACTGCTTAAAAAGTATGTCATAGTCAAAGTAAGCATTATGATGCTAAGGGAAGTCAAGAAATTTCCATCCCGAAAGATTTTCTAGAAAGGACCAGGAATAAAACCCGCCCCTTCCGATTTGGTAATACCAACAATCAATACGAAACTATCGTATTAAAATTGGCTCACTACTTGACTAGCCTATTGGTCCCAAGCAAATCGATTAACGTACCCCATTCTAGTCGAAATTTTAGTACTACACTATGTTTGTTTTGATTTGCCATGAAAGTTTGACAGATAAATTGAGGGATTCGTGGATTTTCCTATGTTTCGAGGTATGCATCAATTAGCTTGGGACCGAAGATAGTACCAGAGCTGAGCCAACAACTTGAGCACTTTTCTTCGGGACCTACTAGTCTTAGAGTTACCTCTATGGTAATACCGTGTCTTAACTGTCTATCTTCTGTTTTATCTGGCTTATTTTACATAACTAGCTATCTGAGGCCCCACATGATCGTAACATTGCAAAAATCCATGTCAGACACATGTCGAAAAGTGCAGACCCTCAGACGATGTTCAAAAAGGTACGACGTACGAGGTTGTATAGTTTGGGATTAAACCTTTCCTCCAACCAAACCCCATACAAAATGTGGTGGGACAATTATCAATCCAAACCTACTCATAACATTTATTAAACTATATAATACCGATGTAAGTTTAAAAAATGTTGTATTGTTGTATTAAAAACGATCAATCACAACAAGAGTTGCTTCGTTGGGTCGTTTCGATTTCCAAGTTCAATGAAATTATTACGTTCCTCACCCCTATCGACGCTATATATTACGAATATGCTTAATGTATGCCGTATTATAAAGTATAGCTTCCCACGCTTGTTTACGTTTTATTTGCCGATTTTCTATTTGAAACTAAACAAATAAGGCAGCAAACACATGCAGACGGTAAACATTTAATTACTCTACATAGTGCGACTGAAGGGTATATGTTCATTTCACACAATAATTGTCAAGTTCAGGTTAACAGCACCTACCACGCTGATCGGTTCTTCAATTCATGTGGCGGTTTTTTTTCGTTTACCTATCTATAGTGATATTATGAATAAACACTCGCAGAATTATAGCGCGCGCCAAAATGAAGCGCGAGGGCGGATTACACGTGTGTAGGTTAGCGCATGGCTTTGTGTCGCACTATTTTGTTTTATATAGTCCGCTTCTTTAAATATTTCGTCAGAGAATCGCCAACTTGACTGAGGCTTTGAATACATACGGAATCTGGAAGAAACAAAAGATCAAACTTTACCGAACGCGAGCTTTTATATAAATTAAACGTCAATGATTTTCTTCAGTTTAGTCAGCGAGAAGACGCGAATATAGTAGTATCGAATGTGCGAAAACGAAAAGTGCGGCAGTGGACTAACTGTTTAATTTGATAGAAGAAATAAGTTTTTGAAATTGTGTAACTCTAAGGTTGTATGCTTTTGATTGCAGTTCATTGCGACGCAGTTAAAGAAAAGCTGGAAAATCGAAGATGAGAATAAACACTCGTGATAGTTACACCAAATAAAATCACGTTACAATTTATTTTAAATATTTTTTAAACATAATAATCTCACTATATAAGCAATCAATGAATTTTCGATGTTTTACCGTTTATATCCGACTTTGCATATCAAACACCCATCTTTGCGTGAGCAATATAAGTTCAGAGCATTGAGTGAGTGATAAATAACCTCGGATTTGAAGCGTCAGGTTCCGGAATCTGGGTACAGAGGCGTTGGCCAACTGCACGGTTTTTTCACTGTAATTAAAGATGACGATGATCTAGCGGAACTCGAACGAAGTGAATTTCATGTATTGTAGTGGTTGTATCGAAAGTCGTTTAAAGTGACTTACACTATGTGGCACATGTAATCGTTGTTTCGTGACTTAGAACAGAAATTCCTTTTATAGTAAATATGTGAAACAGAGCATTTAGTTCCAAATAATTTTATCGCAAGATGAGCGACTAAACCAGGCCTGCCCAATGTGCTTACAATGAGATCATTTTAGCATAATTTTTATACAGAAATGCAAATTTTTGTCCAGAATGATTCAGAAATAAACAAAATATAGCATGAAACATGATCATCAAACATAAATAGATATCCAGTCATTGAAAGAAAGAAGTTTGACGAGTTTGGGCATTCTCTCTATTTGATTTACTAGTCACAGAGAGTCTTCTCACCTCACTCGCCGTAATTGTTTTACAATGGATTAATGAAAATGAAGAGATTTTGACAGAACAGACCACAGTATGCCATTGAAAATGTACACGAGTCTCTCCATATAGGTATGTAAGGGAAATGCCACTACTTAAAATTTGCTCCAGCTTTGGCAAGTACTTGTCATGGCATATGCGATTAAAATGGGTAGGGTCAAGAACTGGTAACACTGCGTTTATGGGATTGTGCCTTAATTGGTGCATATGCCGTAAATGGCTCGCTTACCCTATACAATAGCGTCATTGGTATGCAATGGCGGTTTGTTTTACCAGCCTTCGTTAGTACATTGTATCAAACCATTTAGGTTTGATTGCATAATTCATGAAAATATGCATTAGGGTACGTCAAAATAACAACCCCCTGTTCCCCACTGCTTTTTCGATCAGTATTGCTGTTCCCAAAAACTGTGCCAAAAGTTACTAACCTTTTACTTTAGGGCTATGGCTCCGAGCATTCCTACTCTTGTGTGCGGAGCACTTGCAAAAGCAAATGTTTAGTAGTTTTTTGCACTGAAGTCAAATCAATTTGCGATCTTGGACAAAGTGCATAGTTTATCCCATCGAAGTCCCAGGTGTGGTAAAAATTGAACTGTTTTTAAATTTTTGACAAGCTAATTAATAGCATCGTTTTGTTTCCTATACATTTTCCTTTAAAAACTTTAAATTTCTACCGCAAATGCAATTTGCAAACACATTCATTAAAACTTGACATAGTTGTTGGGGACCTCAATACAGATCGAAAGAGTAGAGGGGAGCAGGGGGTTGTGGTGATCTGCCATACAAACTTGACCCACCCTCATATGCATGTTCCAGATCAAACCAAAAATGGCTGTACGCAAATTTCGTTCAAGCAGTCCATTTAGCATTTGATGTATTTTTCAAGGTCGAACAGAAAAAGTAACAGTGAAAAAACAGCTTGTGTCTATACTCCCACATGGATATGTAACTATTAATTTTTGATGGATTCAACGATCGGGAATGAGGACATATTCAGCTGAAATTATAGCACAAACAACTGAATTCAAATTTGCGAGTAGGTTGAATTGAAATAACATGTTTAGTGTATTTTTTCAACTAGCTTAAATATTTGATTGCTTTTCAGCATGAACGTTATTGAATATCTTCATGCGTACATGTATTGCGTATCTTGATGTTCTCTCCCTATTTTGAGTACCGAAAGATTTAGATTTGATAGATATCGATGACAAAGTTGTAAATACTAATTCCACCTTAAACACAGAAACAGCTCACAATTCTGAAATTTCACCTCTTACTGCTGGTGCAATTAAACCTTTTGATTTTTCGTATATGTACACCAAATCTAAAATAAGTTCTGTCTCAAAATTGCTGCTCAACTGGCTCAACAAAACAAAGTTACAAAATGTCAAATCTGGCTAATTTGTTTGAAGATGCTGTTAAACATTTCTCTGAATGCTTAAGTGCGAGTATGAATTTAGGCGTTTTTTAAGCGTATTCAATATTTAACGCGGTTTATGGAAATAACGTGGCTCGTATTATTTTTTTCCTTTGGTTTGTTTTCCGTGCTGAGCACCAATGCTACCGACGCCAGGGAGTCAGCTCCCACACCTGGACCCTACCTATCGACTCATCAACTCATGAACCGGGGACCAAAGGCTTTAGGCGACTGGGATTGAACCCAGGCTAGCTGGGGTGAGAGGTAATCACGCTTACCAATACACCACCGGTGCCGCTATGCTTCTTGCTGTATATAAACATTTTAAATGTATAGGGGAAATGGCTCTAATGTGCCAACATGGATATAAGATTGAGCCCATCGCTAAATAGCTGCTATTTATCAATTATGTCTAGATGAACGCGCCATTGGGACGGTACTAATGGATATTTGTGGTCGCTATTGAAAATTTAGTCGATTGCTGGATTTATGTATGGGCCCAAATTAGGGGCAGTTAGGCTGACATTACAATTAAAATGCACAATAGTCGCAAATCTGCATTGACAACACGGAAAAAAATGAATTTTTGTTTCAGGGCCTAATGTATTTTGTTATTGATTCAAACATATTGTATCACTATTTCAACAAAACATATTTTTGAATCCACAAAATGGTTTTTAGAATCAACAAACAGATTATTGACTCTAGAACCGATTTGTTGATTCGAACATATTTTTCTTTGAATTAACCGAATAATATATTGGAATCAATACCAGAAATATATTAGGCCCTGAGCCAAAAATATATCCATTTGAATTTAAAAATCATTTCGCTGCGTGAATGCTTCGATAATGACGAGATAATAAAATAAAAGCAAGATGCTTTTATTATTCATTAGTAATAAAATGAATTAAACCAGCATTCAAAATTCAGCATTCAGTGCTACCAATGGATGTCAAATTTCTAGCAATAGCACCGTTAGCTTGTGGGGTACAGCAGTAAAGAAACCGTATATTTTGCCAAAAGTGGTATTTAAGCAATTATCATTTGCTGCTGATAATGTGCTGTTTTTAGTGCTTCTTGGTTACCTGTGTAGGGTTCTGATGCATGGTACGGTGTCATTGCTTTGTTTGTTTTGTTGCTAAGGAATCCTATTTTAACTGACAATTCGAAGGATATAAATACTGATCTTCGAACGATATAAATAGCGGGACTTTTCCATTAGAATCGGTTCCTTGCAATAAAGACAATAATGACAGCTGTTTTCTTCTTCTTCTTCTTCTTCTTCTTCGCATTTCAAGCTTATTGCATATCGCATATTAGCTTATTGCGTGCTCTCAACTTAGTTTTCTAGATACACTTCCACAGTTATTGATTGAGAGCTTTCTATGACTGTACAATTTCTACATTAGTATAATTGGGTGACAAGTACAATCATACTCTATGCCCAGGGAAGTCGAGAAATTTTCCGACCCAAAAAATTCCTAGACCGGACCGGGAATTGAACCCAGCCACCTCCAGCATGGTCTTGCTTTGTAGCTGTGCCTTTACCGACTGAGCTAAGGGAGGCCCCGTATCAAAACCGAATACTTCATAATTTATCAATAGTGATTAGTGCGACATGCACTAAACTAAGGACACGGGATATGTATACGGGCCGCCGTGAATTTATGTCCAGAACAGAGATAGGGACCTCCCTTAGCTCAGTCGGTAAAGGCGCAGCTACCAGGTAAGTCCATGCTGGAGGTGGCTGGTCCGGTCTAAGTGTTTTGCGAGTTCGAAAATTTCTCGACTTCCCTGTATGATTGTACTTGTCACACAATTATACTAATGTAGAAATTGTACAGGCATAGAAAGCTCTCAATTAATAACTGTGGAAGTGTATCTAGAACACTAAGTTGAGAGCACGCAATAAGCTAATATGCGATAAGCAATAAGCTTGAAATGCGAAAAAGAAGAAGAAGAAGACAGAGACACAAAAAATCAGTAACTTTGAAAGTAGGTGTCTTCGGCAATGTTGAAGTGAACATTAATACGTAAGCAAACTTTCTGAAGGCACATTGCCATTCTCATAATACATTTCAGGACACAATTTTGAAGAATAGCAAAATCCGAGCGGAATGGAAGCGGATCTGTAGTTAAAAAACACAGATTTTACATTAAATAATTATTAAAATGGTGGGTTAAAAAAGAAAAAAAAAACCTGTTTGGTAGATACAAATCACAAAAACCTAATAAATTCAGAATTGTAGCACAGAGGAGTGTACATCTAAAATTGGCTTTTTATCTGAATATTATATTAAGAAGTTAAGAAAATCATTTCATTTTCAGAGGAAATTTTTATAAACAAGCTAAAGGGCATTCCGCTTTCCCCATTTTTATGTGAATTGTTCATGGCTAACCTAGAAAATATTCTGGAGGATAGAAATTTGTTGGTATAGGTACGTGGATGACATTTTTAGCATTGTCAAAAGAGAAGGTTTATTAAAAATTTTGGAGGCCATAAGCAACGTTCACAAGGACATATAATTTACTCACGAAGAAGAGAGAGACGGAAAACCCCCCGTTTTAGATATTCTCATCATCAGGGAAACGTCTTTGTTCAAATACAAAGAGAGTAATACCAAGCACTTCAAACCATTCCCATCAACACAAAATGGCCGTATACGTATACGTCTACTATAGTCACTATAGTAGACGAAATACGCTTAAAGATAAAGCAATTATAACGGAATTAAAAGGAAATAAATCAACACACTCAAAGCTCTTCATAAAGAGATTCCGTTAAGAGGTTCTACAAAATTAAAAGATATATGAATAAAATTTTACTAGTCTTCAAGGTAGAATGGAACATTCTACTAGCGGGAATGCAACATTTAACGTTGAAGTCATAGTCAAAAGCAAAACTATTTCAACTAATTTTAAGAATGCTCATTTCTGACCCTTCACCCATCTTTTAAATAGCTAAAGTTTGTGATAAGTAGTATAGACTTTGTTATTATGTTTCACTTCAATTGTACATTTTATTAAATTAATTGATGATTATTCCAACAATTCAACATTTAAAACGGATTGCTAAAAATTGTGTATTGCATATACCGTCAACTCTCCATATTTTGAATAAGCCTAATAGACCTTTTGAAGGGAGCAAAAAAAAAACATCGAAATAGAGAAAAGGTCACATATCGAGATATGGGAGAGTTGACTGCACAGTGATTCATAACAGATTTGCATACATGTAACGTGTTTTTTAATAGTCACTTTATCACCTGTGTTTGATTCTCATTCTCTGCTCTCTTTAACGTATTCCTATTATTCCAGAACGAAAATGCAAACGGCACTATTAGTGAGCATAGTGCTAGTGAACGTGTGCAACATTCTAGGTACGCAAAGAACTGTTTACAAGGCAGGTGATGAGTTGGTGGAAATTACTCGAACCAAAGTAACGAACCCATATTCACCGCTCTATTCCTATTATGCGTACAGTAGTGCACCACAGTATGGTAATGACCGATCTGATGTGGTTTACTATACCTACCCAAACGAAGTGACTACCACGCAGAACGCCAATCGGCGCGTACTATCGGGAGAACCATCTCAAGGCATTTACAACCAATTCATTTTAATACCTACTTCCTCATTCAACCCCAACAACTAGCAGTAGTTAATTGTTGTAGTAGTAACTTTAACCTACGCACGCGTCCAGCTATGGAAATGTTCGCACGATGCTTGCTCCACTTGAAATTATGTAATTGCTAAAGGTGTGTTTTCTTAACTGTAGATAGTAAGTAACGATGAATCAACTTTTGTGGCATTAATCAGTAGAATTGTGTATGCAAGTTAGGCACAGAAAAAAAAATGTTTCGTATACGAAAAAAGTATATAGGTATATAAAAAAAGTATACTTTTTTCTCCCTTTTTATGGCATAGACCTGTTGGACCATATTTATTCCGTTACTTCTTATTTAGGACATAGCGTAATGTGATGCCAAATTAGAACTAGGCTCCTTTTTTTTATTAGATTCGAAGTCTTTCTGATTTTTATATATAAACCGGCTTAAGGTCGATTCACCTGCGCTTAAGTCTCAAACCAGGTTTACAAATATAGATGAAACTGCACAGTTCGAAAACGTAGTGTATATTTCCGGTCAATATGATGCACATGGAGCGTCATATCATATATCATACAAGTTTACATTATAAATCGTGTAGTTCTGATGTATTTTATGAAATTCTGCACATATTGCAGCATTGTATCGTCTTCATTTTCAATCACGCACGAAGAAAGATTAGAATAAGTGCAACAGCAATTTCTTTTATATCAGGCGTAACATTTGATTACGGCACAAAAGCATTTGTAAACAAACTTTTTAAGGCCCTTTACACGCCCTTGCAAACCAATACCACTTTCGGAAAGGTGAGAGTTGCTCCTATCCGATGATGTTGTTGGTTTGCCTGAGCGTACTTCGGTTCGCGTGTAAAGGGCCTTAAAAAGTTTGTTTACAAAAGCTTTCGTGCCGTTATCAAATGTTAAAATTAAAAAATGGAATTTTTACAGAAATCATTTATTGAAATGATTACTGATATGCTTAAATATAACTCCATGTTTGATGCTATTCAAACTGAAGTAAAATTTGCAAAGAATATGGTCATGAGTCATGACTTTAAAATTCAGTAATGGATTTTAAAGCATTAAATGTTTTAATTTGAAATGCTCGATCTATTAAAGATAATGAAGACAAGCTATTTAACTTTTTGAGAGTTCATAACGTGCATATTGCCGTTATAACTGAAACGTTCCTTAAACCTGACCATAAGGTTAAAATGGACGCAAATTATTTTATTTATAGAAATGATCGTCTTGATGGAGCCTGTGGTGGCGTTGCCATCATTGTTCGTAGACGAATTAAACATAAAAATTTTTCTTCATTTGAAACCAAAGTTTTTTAAACTTTGGGAGTTTCTGTTGAAACAAAATTGGGACAACTTACGTTTATAGCTGCCTATTTGCCATTCTAATGCGTAGGCCAGAAACGAATTTTCTCAAGGGTGACCTTCAGAAACTTCAGATTTGAATGCAAAACACCGCTCATGGAATAATGCTTAAAGCAATTGGGTTCTTCAAGGGTATTGAGGTTAATGCATATTCGTAATCTGCATTAAAAATGGAACCCAAACCCAAAATTTCATCAATTTTGGTACACTGGAACTATTTTAAATAAGTACGATTACATTTGCAAAAATCACCTTATTAGCGCCCCTCGGTGTCTTTTTGTATGGGAGCGGGCTGTCAGTTTGTCAGTTTAGTGTCAAATAGTGAAGTTATTATTTTACTTTACATCTTGATTTAAAAATCGAGATGAAAGTGTGTGGGTTTGAAAAAAATATCGCTGTGCTCAAAAAACGAAGCTCTTTCAGATGATAAAAACCGATTTTTTTTTCAAAATTAAAGAACCCAATTCCAATGGTAATATCAACAATCAATACGAAACTAACGATTTTAAATTGGATCACTGCTTGACTAGCCTATTGGTCCCAAGCAAACGATTAACGTACCCCATTCTAGTCGAAATTCTAGTACTACACAATGTTTGTTTTGATTCGCTATGAAAGTTTGACAGATAAATGAGGGGTTAGTGGATTTTCCTATGTTTCGAGGGGTGAATCGATTAGCTTGGGACCGAAGATAGTACCAGAGCTGAGCCAAAAAGTTGAGCTCGTTTTTTCGGGACCTTCTGGTCTTAGAGTTACCTCTATGCTAACATCATCTTTGGGTTGAAGAAAGTTTCCCCTATCCGATGATGCCGGTAATTTGCATTCGATTGGCGAGTAAAGAATAATCAACGTATGCGCGGAGCACTTAGCCTGAAGTAAACGATTATGCATCTTTAAGCACAGAAGTCTAATTAATTTACGATCTTGAACAAAGTTTGTGTACATTTCCAAATAACCATCAAGCTCACTAATGCGAAAAGTGTAATATAATATTGATGTACTTGTATTGATACTAGTATATGGGTAACACTAATCAGATACAAAAAAATCGACTCAATTAGATTGATGACAGCCGAGAAATAACGGTGGGTAGACAGCACTATTCAGGGAAATCCTGTATTTATTGCACTGTGTAATTCGCACAATTAACATAATGCTTACAAGATATTACTTTCATAGGTAGTCAATTACAGTTCTTCCAATATCAATGAACTAATAATAATAATGGGCTAATGTGATTTTCAAAAAATAAAACCCGATATAGAATTAATGTGTTTTGCTGCCTAAAATATTTGAAAAAATTGCACCTTTTTGCTCGTATAGTTTAGCCCATAAATGCAACCAGTCCCATGAGACTTTTTTTTTTCGATTATTAACTACTTGAATTTTAATATGTGCACATACAGTGAACTATTTTGTTCCGAAAATATCGTAAAAAATAAAACAACTTGGTGGTCCCAGAAAGAAAAAATAAAATAAACTGCATTTTCCTTGCCTTGCTGCTTTTCCACATGGGACTGTTGTGCGTTTATGGGCAGTATAGGAGTATATAGAGTAACTCATATGATAGTATCACAAAGAAAACAGACATTCAAATAGCTAATTGACAAAGGGACAGTAGTCATTAAGGCATAAGGACCTATGGAAACGTAGTAGGAACAAATATGTTGAATAGGTTCAAAATGGCCCTTATTACCGATGTCACTGCACGGTGAAGTGACAACTTATCACGCACGGTGAAGTGATTCTCATTTTAAACCGTGAAGTGACACCCGTAATAAGGGCCAATATTAAAATTCAAATTTCCTTTGCAAAGCCCAACCGAACCCAGAGCCGTTGGCCATTAACTTAAAAACTATCAAAATGATGCTGATTTGAAATTCCCAAGTAACCACCTAGCCCGATAAGGACCCTTTTTGCAATAAAAGGCTGATATACGGCTTTACATTTTTATATTAGCCTTATATCAGCATTATATTGCACTTTTTCCATTAGTGGCTTGATGGTTACTCGGGTTATGCACGGCGAAATGTGGGTCTAATCATTTTATTATCATGCAGGATAAATCAGGAGCCATATGTTAAAAGCACATGCAAACTTTTTGTTTACAAAACAGCTTTTATGCCCTTTTTAACTTGTTGTTCTTGAAAAGTTGAAATTTATTATGCATGACGCGCCTGATTAGACGCCTGCGCTAAAAATAAATATAGGGTTAAGGCAGTTTAGCACTAAACGGAATGTTATTATTACTGATGGCTTCCAAATTTATTTACCTTTCCGTACGTACCGTAAGATTTGACAAGGAGAAACCAATCGTTGAGATGTTGTCAAAAGTCTAACACTAATTCTTGTCGCCAAACTCGGCCTACGGATTCTAAACTGGGCCTAACGCATTGAAACGCCAATGAATTCACTTCGGCCTGTCGGATAAAGATAAAAAAATGATTCGGTCGGAGCGCTTCTTTTGTTTTTGAGAATAATGGGTGCAAACCTTCATATCACGCGTTCTCATTGACTTCGTTTGGTAGCTTATTAACTAAAGTATCGTACAAGACGCATAATTGACATGTTAACTCTGAAATCATGGATTTATTTGAAGTTTTCTGCTCGATAGGCCCAAAATGGGCGATTAGGCCGAAGTAGTTCTCTACCCTACTAGTCATAAAATCTGAATATTGAACTTCTTAAAGTTCTCTAGAGCTCGAATTCATTAGTGTAGCTTGCCAATTCTGTTCTAAAGCTGCTACTTTCTAATAAGTAGATTTGTCAACTGACTAGCCAGTGCGAAAAAAATACTGTGCAATTATGTTTGCACAGGAGTAGTGTAAAAAGCGTACTTCTCTTTATTTTTTTCCTTGATTTGTTTCCGTAGATCTAGTTTTTCCGTACTGAGCTCCCACACCTGGACCTTACCTATCGACCCATCAAACTCATGGACTGGGGGCCAACGGCTTTGAGATTTTATGCCTCAGAAAAGCCCGGCGGTGCGCTGATGCGCATTTCTCACCAAACTGGACTTATAAGCGCGTTTGGTGTCTTCGGTGCACTTATTCCTTATGATGGAAGCATGGGCCAGTCCAGTTTGAGATGCAACCAGCAGTACCTAATAAAATTAATCGTACAGACCTTAAGTTGTATGTAATATTAAAAAAATAAAAACAATGTATTCAGAGAATAAAAGCATTTTAAGATTTCATACATACCATACTTCACCGAGCAGAAATTGGAATTCATATACCATCATGTGAACAATGAAAAATGATGTTGATTTCAATTCCTTTTACGTCGAGGTATGCGAGAGGGATAACTTTGAGATTTGGGTAATTTGCTTTTGTAAACAAATACGTCAATCGCCGATTTTTTGCGAATAAAAGATCAATTTTGCGAACAAACTATATCAAATGATAGAGCAATCATTCCTTTACCTGACTGTGTAATTAGTTTGCGCGATTGAGATTTTATTCGTGGGAAATCGGCGATTGACGTGATTGTTTACAAAAGCTATTACGCCCTAATCTCGAATCCCTAAATCCGGGATATTAGAAAATGCTTTAATTTTACATTTTTTTTATTGGTGTACGGGGGATGAAAAGTCAAGAGTTATTCAATAGATGAAGTAAATAAGATTTTATATATTTCCTGACTCCTGTTCAACATTTAGCTGTTATGCAATGTACGGGACATGATCTTCAATAAATCTAGCCAGTTCGTTTGCTTCGCTGACGACGTGGACATTTTCGGAGAAACTAACGAGGAGGTGGCAGAGCAGCACTGTCGGAGCCATGAAACAGACGTTCGATTAATAGAGAACACTTCAAAGACAAAGGGATATCTGTTGCCTGGATAAACTGAGGGATATAGAGCTCGCATAGGCATATATAACAACTGGAGCAGATAAATTCGAAGAAGTATTATTTTCAGAAGTCGTGTATACTACGGACCTAACGAAACATTCAGGTCTGATACCAGTACAACATGTACCGTGTTTCAGAAAGCTAGGTGGTTAGATCTAGAGTCGGTGTATAATGAGTCACGCCAAGAGAAAAACAGTTGAACTCGCATCACGGTTTTCGAACGATTCCCATTCTTTTCACTTGGCAACAGAGGACTTCTACAACAACTTCAAATGACTTCTAGCGAGAGAAAAAATATTGCGGCTGTAGTAAATCATTATATCAGTGATTTTGTCAAATTATCTTGACAAAAAATAGTAGAAATTATCATTACTTATTATTACCGAGCGTATCCCATGACAATTTAACACTCACTGCGTGTTTATGCTCATTTCTTCGATTATATTTTATATTTTATTGCAATACCTTTCACGGACCTTTCATAGCATCGTAATGTTTATTTACTTTGCACGATAGGTAGCCGGTTTGACAGTTCAATAGGTAGACTTGGCTTCACTCTTGGCGTGACTCATTATACACCGACTCTAGTTAGATCAAGTAAAACTAGATTTAGGAACTGCGGGAGTTCATTGTGACATTCTACAGCATATCAAATCATGAAAAACGTTGAAACAACGAAGAAAGGAAGTAATGGCATAAAGGTAACTCTAAGACCAGAAGGTCCCGAAGAAACGTGCTCAACTTTTTGGCTCAGCTCTGGTACTCTCTTCGGTCCCAAGCTAATCGTTGCACCCCTCGAAACATATGAAAATCCACGAACCCCTTATTTTATTTGTCAAACTTTCAAAGCGAATCAAAACAAACATAGTGCAGTACTGGAATTTCGTCTAGAATGGGGTACGTTAATCTATTTGCTTGGGACCAATAGGCTAGTCAAGTAGTGAGCCAATTTAAAATCGTCGAGAATATCCTTAAATGGTCAGTACTTCCCAAGTAATCATCAAGCCCACCAATGCAAAAAGTGCAATATTATACTGATATAATGTGTATTATCACATTTAAAGCCGTATAGCGCGAAAAGGTCCCTTATTGGGCTATTAACGAGCTTGGTGGCTACTTGGGTTTACCAAGTTATAATGAAATCAGCACACAATTTGAGAGCATGATCAAGAACAGGTCGCTTGGGCTATCTAGAGTGAAATGGATAATTTGAACTATTATACATAAAAATATTATTGAAGCACTTAATTAATAATTGTGAAGACATACAAAGGATATCCGGCGCTAGCATTGTAATCGCTATTTAGGCATTCATTTGTAGTGTTTAGCTGATTAAAAGTAAATCCACATTATATTTGCCATGCTTGTATGTCTGTTTTCTATGACTGCGCACTGTATGAAAATACAATAGAAGAAACAGATGATTCAACAATTTTTTTTACGAATTCAGCTCAAGGATGTGCACGAAATCCATGCGGTTCGGGTGCAATGTGCCAGGAAACCACTGGTGGAAGACCTGTGTGCTCGTGCCCTGCAGGATACAGTGGAAATCCGTTATCGCTTTGTAGAAGGTAATATTCTGTGGTAAATTGAATTGCTAATATTTTAAAATCTTCTTTTCTCCTCAGATCTGAATGTTTGGATCATACCGAATGCAGAGGAGATCAAGCCTGTCGAAATGGAAATTGCGTTAATCCCTGCTCAGGAGTGTGCGGTGTTAATGCAAATTGTGATGTAAGGCTTCATCTTTTTTCTAAGCATAACCTTTTGAAATTTTAATTATGCATGTTGTAGGTCAGGAATCACGTTCCAGTGTGTAGTTGTCCAAGGAATATGGCTGGAGATCCGTTCGTGAGTTGCCGTCTAAGAGATCCAGGTTGGTAGAAATGAGGAATATGTGTAACATTGCCTCCTCTTAAGCGTAGAAAGCTGTTAATTTCAGGCACTGGTTGTCTTCAAGGACTGGATGTTCAGCCACAGAGACATAGACATAACACATTGAATGTTTCTCACTGTAAAACATCGTCGCCAAAACATTACCGCCGTCTGTTGAGTACACTGTGGTCTGCACTTCACTGAACAGATGGCGGTAGTGTGTAAACGTCAAACGCAAGGGAATTGACTATGTGCGCCACAGGTGGCGGTACTACCAACTACGATACTTTTAAATTGTCCGTTAAATGCTTGTTTGATGAACAACTTGCGAGTGTTATGTCTGTGGTTATGTCGGATTTGTTTTGGATCCCATTCGTTGCTATCCTTTTTACTCTTATGGACAGCGTCGGATTTGTATCAGAGCAGAGCAGAGCAAAAAGTGAGGTTAACTTTTGCGTGCTCTATAAAGAAAATTGGGCAAACTTCCAAATGGAATAAAAAATAAAAAATTGAATTTCAGACTCGACCTGCTCCGATTTGAAATCAGTGAAATCCTTAACATTCGAGCTAAAATTCTGCCATTTTGATTCTCCAAAAAAGGTTAAAAATAGCGTACTAGATATTTTTATACAAATTATAAATGTCACTTCCAATCGAAATGACGTTTGAGACAAAGTTGTTTGAAAAAAATAATTGCTTTTAAGGAAAAATATAAAAATATATATAAATAAAAATAGGGAAAAATTCCAAAATCCAACTTGAATGTAAAAAAAAAAATACCCTCTATTTTTTTTCTTTATTAGAGTTATTACCATAGAGGTAACTCAAAAACTAGAAGGTCCCGAAGAAACGTGCTCAACTTTTTGGCTCAGCTCTGGTACTCTCTTCGGTCCCAAGCTAATCGATTCACCCTTCGAAACATAGGAAAATCCAATAACCCCTCATTTTATCTGTCAAACATTCATAGCGAATCAAAACAAACATTGTGTAGTACTAGAATTGTGACTAGAATGGGGTACGTTAATCGATTTGCTTGGGACCAATAGGCTAGTCAAGTAATGAGCCAATTTAAAATCGTTAGTTTCCACCGGTTGGTATTACCTTCTGTTTAATTTATTTTTATGAATATTTTCTATTAAAAATGCTTTCTTCTATGAAAATTTCAAGCTGGACACTTAAAAATTTGAGTGTTCACTCGGCTGTCGACAGAAGCAGGCCACTCTCGATGTGTGTCACGCGAAGTAAACAGACACTTGGCAGCAACCATTGTGTGGTCCTCCTCATTGTTCTTCTCCGGAAGTTCTTCCGGTCAATGCGTCGTCGACTTTGGAAAGCAACCGTTTCGTGATGAGTGTGTGAGTGCTGACCATGTTTTGCATCCATTGCTGCAATGGAAGCGCTCTGCTCCCCATTGGCGATACTGCCATACAATGAAACCACTGGAAGCGGCTCCTATTCTGATGGAGGAGGCTTATTGGATAGCGGATGATAAAGTGTTTTTGACTATTATAGTTTTAAGATGTATTGTATAGTGAACTATAATCATCGGCTCTGTAAAGTTAATTCGATTGAGTCTTATAAAATAAATTAATAAACAACTTAAAAATTATCAAAAATTATTGAACAACAACTTTTGGTCAAATTTTTATATCATTTTGTTTATATATTTTTTTATTAATTTTTGCAACGCAAACGATTTTGAGCAAAATTTCACAAACAAAAAGTTCAAAAAATTGTCCGCAAGTTGTTGTTGAATGCTTTTAATTAATTTTTAAGTTTTCATCTTAAAAACACACAGAAGATAGCATTTTGAATAACCTTTTTAATAAAAAGTATTCAAAAAATATTGAAGAGAGCATTTTATTTATTTAAGTTTTAAAAACTTTTCTATAATTTTTACACAAGATTACATAAATTTTTTTACCTTAAATATTTGTTTTTCTAAAAAGGTATTATTTTTTCCTATACTTTTGTCTCAGACGTCTTTCGATTGGAAGTGATTTTTTAGAGCTATGATTTGTTAAAAATGTTCGAATACGCCATTTTGTACTTTTTTGTGAGATTCAAAATGGCCGAAGTTTTTGCTCAACTGTGAATAATTTACAATAACAAACAATTATACAATAAGTTTCATGTAAATCGGAGAATGCCGCGTCACATCGATTCGCCATTTAGGGTGGAACTGCGCATATATTAAAGCCCGCTCAACGCATAACGAATACCATCGATGCACGCTGATTCGAAATATAAAAAAATCATTGATAATCTCAAACAAGTCCTCTTCGGATGACCTTCTACGACATAAATAAAGCTAGCTACGAAGAAACTCAAATAAACCTATCATTACTTTTTTCCAGAGGAACAGTGCCGCCCTAGCCCATGTGGTTCAAATACCAAATGTGAAGTAATAAACAGTGTACCAACTTGCTCTTGCTTACCAGGGTATATTGTGAGTATGTTTCTTTGCATTTTTCTTGCATATCTTATAGCCTGATGTTTTACCAGGGATCACCATTGAGTGGTTGCCGTCATGAGTGTGAAAGTGACGCAGAATGTGGCGCACAGGAGTTTTGTTCACAATTCAAATGCACTAGTGCCTGCTCACAATGTGGAAAAGGTGCCACTTGCGCACGGGTCACAAATCACCGATCAGTTTGTGAATGTCCTAAAGGGTACATCGGGAGTCCGTACACTGAGTGTCGAGCCGAATGCTACGGGGATCGTGACTGCCCTGCAGGTAGACCAGCTTGTATCTACGGAATATGTAAGAATCCATGTGATGGATCATGCGGCGTAAATGCGGACTGTAACCTTCGTGGACTCACACCTGTATGCAGTTGCCCACGAGATATGACGGGCGATCCATTCGTAAGCTGTCGTCCATTCACAAAGGAGGACTTGTGCATTCCAAACCCATGTGGTACAAATGCGGTATGCACTCCTGGTTACGATCGCACCAATCGTGAAAGACCTGTTTGTACTTGTCCCCCAGGATATACGGGAAATGCCCTCTCTAGTTGTGTCAGGGTACGTAAACAAGGAAAATGAAATTAATTATTAAATACCTACCTATTATCTTACCGTATTAATACATTGTAGGGCGAATGTCAAAGCGACAGTGAGTGTGCTGATCACAAGGCATGTATTAACTACCAATGCGTTGATCCCTGCCGTGGACAATGTGGAACAGGTATTCCAAGAATTGTAACAAGCATAGCAAACCAACCTTAATATTGACATTTTTTTATTGCAGGTGCCCAATGCCAGGCTAAGCGACATTTGGCTGTTTGTACATGCCCAGCGGGCACTGACGGAGATGCATTGGTGTCCTGCAGCGCTAAGAGGAGCTACCCAGTAGCACGTTACCACTGAAAGTACAGCGTGATGTTCTGTATTGCTAAATTCAGAAAGACTAACATTTCTGCTGAAAGATTTACGAATTTAATGAACTTACATTTTTAACAATAAAATGTACTTGTGGAGTGTTGTTTACGATTTTTATTCTGGCGCTGTACTCATGCACTTCGAATGCTCTCAGCGCTAGCTGGCGTTGCTAATCGCTGCTCCTCTCTCCATTTTCACTGTAGCTCCGACATAATCGCGTGACTACTCAGTTGACGGCATTCCAAGTACATCTCGACACATTTCATCGACGACATTCTCCACGTTAAGGAGGGGCATCTCCCTTCACACTGCCTCGAACCTTGGACAGGCTAAGACCACATGTTCTGGTATTTCGTCCACGTTGTCACACTCCGGAAAAAGGGGTGAAGGCCGACGCACAATAGATACGTTTTCAGGTTTTTTGACAATTAGCCCATGCATTATCTGTCAAAAAACCCGAAAACGTATCTGTTGTGCGCCGGCCTTAACTTTGCGTGTCCGAACCGATGCAGGTATTTCCTGAAGCAGCCGTGGCTAGGCAAGAACTGCGTTAGGTTGTTTTTTTGTTCACCCAGGTCGTAATAATCGGTATTAGTCTATGTGTCCATCTACCGTAAACCACCGTGTTCTACTCCTGTTGCCACTTAGCCAACGACTCCGCTCTCACCACGTTACGTGCTCTTCCGGCTTTCCTCCACCTGTTGCAATCGCTGTCATCTGCCATGGTGATCCCGATAGGGATCATTCCGGCGATAAAGCATACTGCTTCCAACGAGATGGTTATGTACGCACTCACGACTCACATGGCGATGAGCCGGAACATACTGCTCAGATAGCGGGACCTTTCAATTAGAATCGGTTCCTTGAAATTTTTTTCTATTATTGTCACTTTAACGCTCTTGGGTCATTCGTGACTTGTCCGGGGTGAGATTTGAACACGTGACTTTGACGTGAGAGGTATGGATGTTAACGCCCCCTGGTTGATAACAAGAATGGCAGCTGTATGAACATCGAATACTTCATAATTTCTCAACAGTGATGGAGTAACACGACATGCACTAAACTAAGGACACGCGATATGCTACAATAGATAACATTACTGGTCGCAGTAGTTTTAAGTCACGAACAGAGGAAAAAAAGTAGAGCAAGATGGGTCTGCTGCATGATTTATTTATTTATATAACAGGTTTGAACAAAAAATTTAATATTTCTGTCAAAGGTGACTTCTACCGTTGGATTTGATAAAGAGTCCAAATGGTTGGAGATATTTGTTTAAAATCTAATACTGCTTCTTGATTCTAAATTCGTTCTATGAGTCCTAATAATCCGTACATACTATGCCGTATATCATGTAATATAGGCTGTCTTGCAATGAGCACTCATGTATAGGATTTCCAGTGAAAACTAGATGTATGAGTGCTCATTGCAAGACAGCCTATATTACATGATATAAGCCATAGTCTGTCTGGGGTACCGCATTGAAACGCCATTAGATTTTCTTCGTCCTAACGGATAAACGTAGAAAAAGGGTATTTGCTATGAGCGCTTCTTTTGTTTTGAGAACAATGAGCGTAAATATTCATACAATGTGCTCTAATAGGATTTATGTTGTAGTTAATGAACTAACGCATCGGAACAAACCTATTATTGATTTGTGCACGGTGGAATCATTGACATTATTGATCTTTTCTGATCGATAGAACGGAAATGGGCGATTACGACGAAGTAGTGCTCTACCCTATCAACATAAACAGGTTCAATGTCGCCACAATTATATTTTAAAAGAGTAAACCAGCTTTGGGACTACATTGAGCCTGTTGATGTTCATAAATAGATAAATCAAGTAACTGACCCAGGTATGTTAGATCTCATATTAGGGAAAATCCTTCGTGGACTTGCATTGAATATCTCAGGAATGGAGAAATTTTCTAGATTCTGTGGCATGAAAAATTTTCAAGGTTCTAAAAATATCAAAAATATTCAAAATGCTAGACACGGGACTTTGTTTTCTAATTTGAATTCAGGCTTAATTTTTGATATCCTGTGCTGAATTTTGTCATTGTCATTGACAGATTTCGCTCGCTATTGAAAACATTACTTTTGACATTGTCACTGGAAGAAGTGACTCTTACATAAACCTTCGTCAAAATCTCATTTCTTTTTCGCCAATGACAAAGATTCACCTGCTACCAATCCCAACTAACAATTTAAGCTGCAGAACATAGCCAAAAATTGACTTATACAACTAATGTTAGAATCTTGAATGTATAAGCTCGAGGGATGTCCACCACGTGGACAGTTTAAAGAGCAGCAAATTTGCAGGATCAGCAAATGTCCACGGTTCATAAAAATTTACTTAAATTTATATGGATGATTGTACAAGCAGAAGGGGGGGGGGGGGGGGGGGGTTTAAAATCTAATAAAACCTGTCCACGTGGAATATGGACAGCCCCTAGTCTGCAGCTAAAATTGTTTCTTGGGATCAAAAAGTGCAATTTTGCCCGTTCTTATACACGTTACTGTTATTTTTTTTCCATCTTCCAGCTCTATCTAGATTTTGCTGATAATTATTGCTCAGGTTGCTGTCATTTTGGTCGTTTTAACGGTTAAAATATCAAGATTGGGAGCAAAAAAAAAATTCCTTCGACATTACATTGAAAACTATTTCTGCTATCTGTGAGAGCAAACTGAAAACTCAATTTGATATCATTTTTTTCCTATTGATAACAAAACAAGTATTCAATTTGATGCTATGCTAAGGCAATGAAAACCACCCCGCAACAAAAAATTTTTGAAGAGCAAATGTACAGCAAAATGAAATCAAAATTTATCAATTGCATAAACTGAAATCAAATTAGGATTTCAGTTTGATGTTGATATCAAAACTTGATTTCAATTTGCTGTCATTTTGATGCTGGACTTTGCTCGGGTACTTTGTCAATATCGTCGTGTACGGCCGGTATGTTGCAGCAGGTAACCTGCACTCAAAAAATAAATCGCATTTCCAATGGAAAATATCCATTAGAATTTCACATAAATTTCATGAGATCTCATAATGGGGAATCACACCACCAAATCACTTGAACCTCATGTGTCCAATGAAGTTTATATGATTTACCACATAGAATTCATGTGATAATATGAATATTATGTGAATTTCAGATAAAAGTCATGTTGTTGGAAAAATATCATGTGCTAATGAAAACTAATGAAAACTTTTGTTCAATGTGCACTATGAAAAATTAGAAAATTGCAGCTTTGAAGAAATATTCAAGATTCCAATAGAAATATTTGAGATATCGGGCTTATAATAGGTATATATTTTTTTTAAGAATTTGGTTTATTATTTTAAGGTTTCAATCAAATACTCATTTTTTTTTTCAATTCGTGGTTTTCCCGGTTCCCGAGCAAAGTCGGTTAACAAAATGAAAGCAAATCGATATTAAAGTGTGCAGCTCCTATCATAATGAAAACTCATTTTGTTTTCAAATGTTGCGACATAAGTCTGATATCATATTGTGCTTTCATTATGCAGTCAAGACTTTTTAAATGAAAGCAACTTAACTTGAAGTTCTGCTGTTTACGTTTTGTTTAAAATTTAATTGAAATTCATCGGTCGTTGAACAGTTGTCCCACAGCTGTCTACAGCAGCAGTCGAATTTTTATTTCGGTGTGAACCACGCGATAGCCTGTTTTTGAGACTCGCTATTATATAGTTGCTCTTTGTTCGTTGCTATCAGTTTGTGCCTTTTGTTGCTACGGTGCAAGATGTGTGAAGTAAAAAACACCATCAAGTTTAGCTTCAGCCATTATGATGCTAAACCAAACATCGGAGAGATTGTAAATTTCGCCAAATCACTCGACGCGGATCCGGCTGAAATGGAAGCTGTTTATCGCATTGGTGAGGAAAGGGGAGTCTTCATAAAGTTCAAATCAGAGGAAGCGATGCTCCATGCTCTGACATACAATTCGGAGGATTTAATCTTCCATTATGCGAATGGAACGACGGCAAAGGTACGCATGTCGCATGCTGGTGAATTTATCCAGTATGTGCGTGTGTATGACTTGCCACCAGAGGTACCGGACAACGAGCTGGATAAAGTGCTGGGGAAATATGGAAAAATTAAACGCATCATCCGGGAGAAATTTCCATCTGATCTGTGCTTTGAGGTTTATACAGGGATACGCGGTATATATATGGATGTGAAGAAGGAAATCCCCACGTCATTGTATTTCTTCAACCGCAAAGGAAATATATTTTATGATGGCAACAAAGATAAATGTTTTCTGTGCAAGGCGGACGGACACCGGAAGCTTCGGAAGGAACCGGAGAAGCAACTAAAGGAAAAGGAAAGCAAGGTGAAAGAAAACAAAACAGCAGCAGTACGTATGCTGGTGTAGTGATGGAAGGTGCGTCGTTTGTCATTAGCGACCAGGAAACGGACACGGGGTTGGAGATGTTGAATGAAGATAACGAAATGGACGAGACGACCCTGACGACCGACGAGAGTAGCGGAGAGCATGCAACGGGAAACGATGTTCAGATGCAGCAGCAGCGATCACGTTTCGGGTTCAACGAAAATGAGGAACAAATTCGGGAAAGAAAGAAGTTGCGTGCACGGGAGAAGATCGCTTTGTCGCCGCTTCGATCGCCACCCAGGAAAATCCTTTAATAATATGCATTTGTATATCTTTTGTTTGTATTTTGAGTACCAAAATTGGTATTCCATGTTACTCGGCTCCGCTAAGTTATTCTTTTAACATTTGAGCATGCCAAATAAACAAAATGAACAATCAGTCATCGAATTTTTACACAACAAATTGCATAGAAGACACCTCAAGTGAAACCGTGATTGATTTTAGGATCGCTACAAAATCATGTGTTAAAAATTGGCGTCTATTTGCTACAGTATTTCATATCGTAATCAGTATAAATATATTAGGTAGCATTTATATAATTACACAGTGTATTGTATGCGTTTAGCTCTCGTTCCTTCGTTTACTAGATGCTATATTTGCATGCTCACACCTATCAATGCGCGATAGTACTAGCAACATTTGTTCTTTTTCTTTATGTTGGCTCCTTTACGCAGATGAACGGTGTCATTGTTTTGATCCGACTGAACCTAAAAAGAAACATTTAAATAAATTCTGATCCCTTCTGAAGATCCAAGTCCTGAACAGATACCTGTTTTTGAGTTTGCTTTTTATGCCTCAAAACTTGTTCGGTGATGGCTAAGAACATTTCTTCTACATTTATATTGTCTTTGGCTGAGGTTTCGAAAAGCTGAATATCCATCTGGTTGGCGAAACGTTGTGCGTCTTCGGTAATTACAACTTTCCGGCCGGGGTCATCGTTTTTATTTCCGACTAAAAAATAAAATTCAAAGCATTATTCTCATTCATAAAATAATGTATGTCCAGAAGATACCTAGTACTTTGTTCACTACGTCACAATTAGATTCGATTTCTTGTAACCATCGTTTTACATTGGCAAACGATTCGCCATTGGTGACATCATACACCACAATAACACCGTGAGTTCCACGGTAATAACTATGTTCAAGATGAGAAAAAAAAAATAATTGCAAGGAAAACTATCACACTGCAATGCATGTAACTCACGTGTTTGTTATAGTTCTAAACCGTTCCTGTCCTGCTGTATCCCAAATTTGCAATTTTACGCGCTCTCCATTGATTACGACGGTTCGTATTTTGAAATCGACACCTATAGTTGTTATGTAACTGCCGGAGAATGTGTTGTCTGAGAAACGAATTAAGAGCGAAGATTTGCCAACACCTGTAATATCGACAAAGACGAAAATGTTAAGAACATCATCAGAACTATCTACTTCAAAGTAAAAGTTTGTGTTTGACTGTACTGTAGTAGCTACCATAAGTAATAAACTAAAACTAGAACAGCCGACCTCAACTTTTCACTTGGATGTGTTAAACAGTGCTGAAATTTGTTTATAATGGACATTTAACTATATACATCAATATACATACGCTTACATTTACATACATTTGGCTTAACCTCTTAGAGACTACGGGATAAATTCTTGCAGTAAATATTTGCAGCTTTAGTTACATCTAGAATTTCACAAAATTTATTGTTATAGACATTCATTATTCTGTCGAATGGTCCATTTTAAGTTGTTCTTTGGGGAAAAACTTGAAATAAATTCTTAATTCTTAAAATGCATACAAATCCAAACTTGCTAATAAGTTTTCAAAGTGTATACGATGTGAGATTACATTTATAACAAAAGAGATCAGGTAAATTTCTCTTCGTTTCTTCAATGTTCAATGTTCATAAAGATGCAACGTGACTGATATGGAGGAAGGGGAAATGAAGTCCAGCCTAGTTTTTTTAAGAGTGAATAACAAAAACTGTTTATGATCTGATTCTACTAATTAAGCTAATATAAGCTTCTTTGTATGGAGCTCAAACTACACTGCAGTATTCGATACTTGATTATACGTAAGCTACATAAAGTATACCCAAAACTTTATATGTTTCATTAATTGTTCTATTAAAATGATCTACAAAAGTCAACTTTGAGTCACAGAAAAAGAAAATTGGAAATTTGTACCCGCGTAAAAAAAGGTTTGTTGTAGCAGATTTTTACTATATCAATTGTAGAAGACATCAATTTCAACCTGAAAATGTTGCAAATCCAACATATGCAAAACACCGTTCATGGAATAATGCTAAAAGCAATTCCAATGGTAATATTGTGTTTGATGATTTGGTAAAATTTTAACTACAAGTTCGGAAAAAGCTCAGAAACTTGCTAAGCAATTCGAGAATTCCCATAATTTCAGTTTGGGTTTTACTAGTTGTTCCTTCTGAACTGGTTTTATCAAACTCTGGAGCTCTGAAAAGAGCTGGGGGTTTGACGCTGCTCTCCGGGACACCAATGGACATGCGGTAGAAATGGCGAATGCTGCCGACTGCACTAGACACTACTGTTTTATTTCTCTTCGTTTCTTAATACAAAGGTTTACAGCTGCTGCTGCTGCTGCAAACGGATGCTTGGTTGGATTCATACTTAACTTAAGCACGCGCTACTGCGGGGATTTTTATAGAACAGCACCGACCAGTTGGTCGATTGATTGGTCGACGTTTTCTACTCTCTTTCGGCGGTAGGCGGAACATCCTCCCCCCGGTTGAGAGGTCATAACACCTTTTGGAAGTCGGAGGGCTTTGACAGGGATCGTTATCCTCGATGGGCAGAATGGACGTCGATACGTGGTTCCATTCATGAAGACATCAACTGCTCGGACCAGGTCGTCGGTTCCAGTATAGACTTCTACGATGCGACCTAACTTCCATTTGAGTGGTGGTTGGTTACGATTGTGAAGCAACACGATCATGTCTTCCCGAATGTTCGGCTTCTCTTGTCAATTTTTCTTCTGAGGCTGCAGGGTACGCCAGAATTGTTCGCCAGAATTGCTGCAGGGCACGCCAGAGTTGCTCGCGCATAAGCTGGAGATGTTGCCACCGACGCTGGAGATGTTGCCATCGACGTTCTCCAGGAATGGTGCAGCTGGGGCGATCAGCGGTCGTCCAATCAAATAATGTGCTGGAGTTATTACCAGCGTGTCCGCCGGGTCGTTGGAAATTGCGAACAATGTTCGGGAGATCAAGATGGCCTTGATTGCCGACAGGATCGTACACAATTCTTCGAACGTTAGAGTTGTATTGCCGACTACCCGCTTCAAATGGATTTTGGCCGACTTCACGGCCGCCTCCCACAAACCACCGAACTCGGGTGCGTCGGGTGGAATGAAATTCCACTCAATCTCATGATTGCGGCAGAACGATTTGATGGTCTCCACGGCTTGTTGGACACAAAACTGCTGGTAAATGTTGTGCGATAAATCGTCGAAGGGACGCCATGAAGGCATCGGAACTCAAATCGGAGACGCCCTTCAAATGGACGACTTTGGTTGCCATGCAAACATAAACGGCCACGTACGACTTTACCAAAGTTGCAGGACGTGTGCCTTGCTTGGTCCAGAAAGGCCCGGCCTAATCCACACCGGTCACAGCGAAGGGGGGCGACGGCACTACTCTCGATACTGGCAGGTTTTCCATCAATTGGTTGGGGGTGGTAGGATTGGTCCAGAAGCATCTCACGCACCGGCGTGTGATGAATCGGGTGGTGGATCTTGCGTTTAGCAACCAATAACGTTGCCTCATGGCGTTCATCAGGCCTGTTTGCCGACGTGAAGGAGCTCGAAGTGCATTTGTTGAATTAGTAGTCGTACTACCGGATTCTTATCTGGCAGAATGATTGGATGGCGGTTCCCGAATGGTAATTGTGAACGGTCCAACCGAACACCTACTCGAAGCAGTCCGTCGTGCTAAATTGGACAAAGACCTCAGAGTCTCTTGCAGGGCTTGTTTGCCAGAATTCGCTTAATCTCATCGGAGAAATGTGCCTTCTGCAAAACTTGCATGATGACTTCAGATGAGCGGCGTAACTCCGACAATTGGCAGTAAATCACTGAAAATAGCCCACAACTCGTTGGATTTTGCGGAAGTTACTGAACTTTGGAAGAAAAGATAGAAGGTTCATACTCATCGTCTAGAATGTCTTCAGGGGCATCTAAGTAGTACTCAACTCTTTGCAGGAATTCGGGCCCATTCCACCAAAGCCTGTTGTTCTTCCGAGATTCAACTAGTTGACCTCGGGATACGATGTCTGCTGGGTTCTGTTGAGACCGGACGTACTCCCATCAGTACTTACTGGTGTGCTTTTGTATAACTGCGATTCGATTCCGTACAAACAACTGTAGCTAGTTGCAGGGTGCCTCCCATTCATTTTGGCTAACAAAATTTTTTATGAAATTATGGAACAATAACATATTATAATAATATTTTGTTTGTGTAAACATCAAGAAAATATTGTGAAGTTTGTGTTTGACACATAATACCAGCCAATTTTGCTACATGAGAGTCGCAATAAGCGATTTTGTCATTTATCTCACCCACTTCGCGAAGAGGCGATCAGAAAATCGCTCATTGTGACTCTGTCAAAGCAAAATTTTTAGGTTTTATGTGTCAAACACAAACTTTACAATCTTTTCTTGTAACTTACACATACAAAATATCATCATAATATCTTATTATTCCATAATTGCATAAAACATTTTTTAGTCAAAATGAAAGGAAGGCTGGTTGAGAGGTTTCTTTTACCCAAGCTAGGACTACCGTACTGTCGCACCACAGGACTATGTCACGGACGGAGTCAAATCCAGGACTGGTAACACCTTCTGCACTAACCGGGTTAGTAGAAGAGCGGCGCATAGTTCCTTTCATGGGATGGACAGCTCTTTTAGGGGAGCTAGTTTCGATTTGCTGGTGAGGAGACGAAGCTTCGCCGAGCCATCGCCAAAAATAGTTCGCAAAAAGATACAGGCAATCGTCACGCGCCTTGGGATCTCGATCTCGTGCGACAAGGAATCTTGGAGTTGTCGCCACTGCTGTGCGATGTCTTCGCTCTTTCAACGTGATCCTTTTTTTTTTGGCCCTCTACGGGAATATGCTCTAGGAATTACGGTGAATTTGAGCACCACTTGTGTATGGGGAAACCTCCCTGTCCAAGGAGCTGCTTCAGCTGTTGTTGAGCCTCGATAGCGTCCTCCACCGAGTCTGCACCAGAGAGTACATCATCCATGTGCGTTTCTTCTTGCACAATACGAGCAGCGACAGGAAAGTCCTCGCGATCTTCTTCGACGAGCTTCAGCAAACACCTGGTTGCTTGATATGGTGCCGATGCCGTATCGTGCGTAACGGTACAGAGTTCCATGACTCTTAGGGGTACCGATACGTGCTCTCTTCTAAAGAAACGAAGAAGTGATGGCAACCTTGAATTTTCGGAACCGTAGCGCGGTGCAGATCGTTCTGTACTACTGGACTAACTTGCAGTACATCGTTCAGGGAGAGTTCCGATGGCGACAACTTTGCACTTGCGTCGAACACGACTCGACATTTTGTGCTCGAGCTGGACAGACGTAACACTGCATGATGCGGCAAATAGTAGACTTGCTTGTTGGGTGGATCTTCAGACTCTTTGATCTCGGTGCAGTGATCGAGAGCTTCGTACTCCCGGATGAAGTTTACTTACTGAGCCTGCAGCTCAGGATTGCGGATTAATCGCTTCTCCAACGTCAGGAATCTTTTCAAAGCTAGACTGCGGCAGTTATCCAATTGGAGAATATTGTCCTTGAACGGCAGTTTCACGATGAATCTTCCAGTTTCGTCACGTTGGTAGGTAGAAAGGAAATGTGCTTCGCATGCCGCTTCCTCGGTTGACAGCTTGGGAACGTCCGGCACCTCCTCGACTTGCCAAAACTGGTGCTCAATGTCTTCAACGGCTGTGATGGATTGGAACGACACGTTTGACACGAGCTGGTCATTGATGGCACCTGTTACGATCCACCCCAGATAAGTGTCTCGCAATTGTGGAAGACCTTCGGCTAGGCTCAGCTGACCAGGTTTCAGGATATCGAAGAATAACTCCCCACCGATATATATATATATATATATATATATAAGTTTAATTTTCCACTCTATATTATGAAATTCGTTCAAAATTATTTAACTGACAGAACTCTGCAAGTAAATTATCAAAATTACAAAATTAGAGCTGGAGTTTCTCTGCGTAGCATTCATGGGCCTATATTGTATAACATTTTCACTTCGGACCTCCTTGATTTGCCTCAGGGTTGCCACATATCTTTGTTCGCCGATGACATAGGTATTCCCGCTAAAGGAAGAAGTCATCGTGTTAGTTGCAGCAGACTGCAGTAAAGTTTAAATATTTTTTCTTCTTATTTACAAAAATGGAAAATTTCTTCCAACTCTTCCTAAACTCAACTTATAATATTCCCACATAAGCCAAGAGCTTCCTTTTTGAAACCTAGTAGTAGTCACATAGTCATTATGAACGGAGTCCCAATTTCCTGGTCAAATCAAGCGAAATACCTTGGATTAGTACTTGACTAAAAATTTACTTTTTTTATTCACATTGAGGGCATTCAGGCCAAATGTAATAAATATATCAGTGGCGTCGCCATAACCTCAATCTACCTGTTCAAAAACTCTCAAAACATAAATAAATTTAAAAAAATGACTTCCAGTGGATACAAATTAGTGAAACTAGAAGACCCTGTGCCTTTTGAAACTGATCTGAATGTAAGCATGACCCTAAATAACGTTTTCAAAGTCGTTGAACAGGTAAAAAGTGAGGTTACGCGACGCCAGTGAAATATATAAATGTTTGTATCGTATTATAAACAGGAAATCCAAACATTGGCTGAAGTATAAACATCTAATATTTAAACATATATACTTTACGCTGTGCCAATATGGTCTAGTTGTTGCACTACCAAGAAAAAAGTACTTCAAAGGATTAAGAACAAAGTTTTGAAGATGATTTTGAAGTTACCTCCCTGGTACAGTACTACCGAGGTATATAGAATTTCGAATATTGAAACTTTAGAACAAATGTCCAACAAAATAGTTAATAATTTTCGGCAAAAATCGTTGCAACGATTAATTCCCTATATACGTAGATAAGATTTAGTTGTAGTTTTATATAACGCCGTTGAAAATAAAAATAGGCACATAAAACGCAGTCGGTTGTTCGTCAGTGTTTTTTTTTTCCGTATCACGCGACTCCTGGGATGGGTTTGATGTCCGGTAGTATGGTTAGTGTTAACCTGTGTTCACTAGCGCTGGGTTTCCCACAAATTTCTCCTCGTTTAACCATCGCTCGGAAAGGAAATATTTTGAATGGCGGGTTTAAAAACAACTGTTTCTAATGCAAAATGGAGATACACTGACTAATTTCATCTTCCAAGCGGATGGCCCAGAAGAAACCAGAAAAGGCATTTCAACACCAAAATTTAATAGCAAAACGGTTGGGCATGATCTTTTCAGATTTGAATGAAACTTTGCACATATGTTGGTTGCTACCCAAGATTGCATTTGGCATTAATATATGTCCATGTCCACTTTTCTAGAGTTAGTATTTAAAAGAGCGTATTAAAAAAATGATTATTTAAAAAAATACCTTGAATATTAATTTGATCAAAATGACTCTTCTTTATCAAGATTAATAATGCAAGACATAAACATAAACGGTCCAAGAACAGAGCGAATGGAAATTATAAAAAATGACTTAAATCATACCTACCACATTCATGGCCGATTTCTTCACCTACTGTAACACTAATGTGAAAACCTATTAGGATTTAAGTGCAGTTAAAGAAATCGACCATTAAGGTGAAAGTGACCTTCACGCAGAGAAATGATTTTTAAATTCAAATAGATATATTTTTGACTCAGGGCCTAATATATTTTTGGTATTGATTCAAATATATTATTCGGTTAACTCAAAGAAAAATATTTTTGAATCAACAAACCGGTTGTATACTCTATAGAGCCAATAATCTGTTAGTTGATTTTAAAAACCATTTTGTTGATTCAAAAATATGTTTTGTTGAAATAGTGATACAATATGTTTGAATCAATAAAAAAATCAAAATACATTAGGCCCTGAAACAAAAATCCATTTTTCTGCGTGTAGTAAATACATATTTCAAAAATAGTTTTCTCTGAGACATCACTTCAGATTGGAAAAAGCTTTCGTTGTTTTGTGCAAAATAATAAAAAGAAAATATCGACCAGAGCTTTTCGTCATATCTCAGAAATTGTTATTTTTTTTATTTTTTGATTTAGTTTTCTTTCTCATATAGTACTGTGTTTTATTGGCGTTAGAAATTTTTGGAACAATGTTCCAAAATTCACCAACATCAACCAAACACATACTTTTAGAAAGGAAACTAAATCGATTCGTTTGTTCCGTAGAATCATGTCTAGTTGATGGTAAATTTTGAACATTAAGGTGAAAAACTTTAGTGACCTTGTGAGCAAATAAAAATGTCATCTCTCTCAGAGAAATAAAAAAAAATGATAGCTTAGCAGTTGAAAACCTCTAAACAAAGCAGACCTCATAAAGCAAGTATGCTTCAAAATAAATGTTAACATTAAAGTTCAATATGGATTTAGAAGTTTTATACAAAAACAATGTATGCAAATATTAGAGAATGGAGCCAAAAATATGGAAACTTGCGGTGTGTAACATGGTAAATAATTTCTTGTCATTGCAGTGGTAATAAAGACTGATTAATCAAAAATCCAACTTAAAGATTATTTAGTTAGTTGGGTCTGAAATTCAAAGATTATTCGCATATAGCTTCGGGACAAGCAAGATTATTGAACAAGGATTTTAAAATGGCAACACTGGTCAACGATTGATGATGATGAATACTTTTGTTACTTCTGAGGATCGAAAAACTGATGTACAAAGAATCACCAGAGAACCGAGAAGCAAGATTCATCAGTCTGCCATACTCTCAATCCACTATCAGTATGCTACTCTTTCTGAATCATGTTCAATTAATACAAGAGCTTTTTGAAGTAAGACTCATACTCACCACTATCACCGATAATGAGAAGTTTGAATAAATGATCGTATTCTCGAGCCATTTCTGTCTGACACGATCTTTGTAGAGGAGCCACCAAGCTGTCTCGAAAATTGCTGAATTTGTCAACTCACACTGCTCACCGGACCGGATTTTTTTACACCTTAGCACACGCGCATACTATTGTTGAATTTAGTGCAGATTTTGAAGAGAATATGGAAGATATTACTAGTAAAATTCAAAAAAACACGGAACAATGTTTTGTTGCGAACCAAGAGGAATGAAAGGAAAAACCATCAGCAGCCAACTGATAGTCGCTCGCTGATGGGTGGATTGTCGTCAGCTAAATGTCATTTGACGTATCAAGTCGAAATTTAATACATACACAGAAAAATAAAACTACTCAAAATCCATTTGCTTGCAGCGAGCGCGTAACTTTAAGGTTCTACAAAGGCACACAGCAAAAAAAGTTGTTGAATATTACATCGAAACTGCTGCAACCAGGTCAACCCATCGGTTGTGTAATATCATATTGTACGATGTACATCGATTTTGCGAACAAAATTACATCCATTGATGTAATATTGTATCTGCTTTTTGCTATTACATCATTATTTCATACATCAGCTTGAATTACGTTGATCGATATTACATTTTTTTTTGCTGTGCAACCTGGTCTATCCAGCTTTCCATGCTCGGTAATGGCGGCCTGTTTGTATGATAAATGTATCCTTCACTGTGCTTTTTGACACTAACTGGAGGGCGTATGTTGTTCCATTTTCTTCTGTTCCTGGGAGAGGGAAAGGGAAGGGGTTGAAATTCGAACTTCCAGATAGTGTCAAAAAGCACAGTGAAGGATACATTTATTCATACAAACAGGCCGCCATAACCAAGCATGGAAAGCTGGATAGAGATTAGTGACGATTAACGCACGCACACTAGCGGGAGCAACGCCGTGTAAAGTTGTTTATTATTTTCCTCTGGCTAACCTAAAAAATGTATGAAAGTAGATCTGTCAAAATGAGTTTGACATCGATTTGTTATGTATTTTCTTCGGATATTCACTAACACGCTTTCACATATCGCACCAATACAACCGGACGTGAAAATCTCTATTGACCAACCCGCATAAGCGCGAACCATAAATTGACCTTACCTAAAATGGTTAAAATTGTTTATAATCCCTGCTAAACTTCAACTGAAATGGTTATGGAACTTTACATGAACGTTTAATGATAAAGTTTTAACCTTAAGTATTATAGTTTTTTGGAAGTGGACCTTACAAATAATGGGTTGTTAAGAACCATTACCATTCATAATTCTTGTTTTCTCCATACATTTTCGGAAAGAAAACTATACTAAAACCTTTTAACTTATGGTTTGAGAACATTAATGGTAATGGTTATGGTAGGAGTCGAGTTTTGAACGCCTTTGGATACGGTTGTATCTAAATTTGCTCTCTGTTTTGTGCGTGCATTCTCTTTCATAGTTTTCGGCTGCATTTGCCGGATTAGCGCTGGCACTCTGCCTCCCGGACGGTTATACGTGTGTGAGTGGTGGTTTTCTCGCTTTCCGAGAAGTTTTAGAATCAAGAAAGAAAACATGATTCATCATGTTTGCAAAATTGCAAGCATCAGAAGATTTGGCGCTGCGTGGTTTTATTGTTTTTCCCGGACCAAAAATTTGTGGCATCGCGAGTGAAAATTTTAATTTCTTTTTATTTACGCGGTGATGAGCACGGCGCTGATCTATTGTCAGGGTTTTGCGATGTGCATTGCTTTTGTGCACGGAGTGTCTTGAAAAAGAAAAGTGAAGAAAAGTGATATTTGATTGTTGTGTGGTTGTTGTGTGGTTGGAGTGGAGAGAAAAATATGCGTGGAAGCATCGGGAATGCGCTCCCGGGTGAAGTGATTTGATGAGCACGTTCCAGTTGAAGATTGTTGACAAGTGTATTTGTGGTGATGCAAATTATAGTTTAGATGACGCATGGCTTCAAACATTTTGTGTATCCAAATAAAACATATTACATACTAAATACGCACAGGGCATCGTCTGCTGACCATTGCCGCGGGTATATCGTGGGAGTCCCAGGTACCCGGTTCAAGCTTTAGTTGGCGGCGGTGGCTCTTCTTGACCTTCTATCCCCTGAGTAGTTAGTGTGAATAAGGGCGTCTATGTGATGTTTTGCTGTACCTGTTGTGGACATCTAGTGTATCCTGTTCCCTTAACTTGTTGAGGACACCCTGTCTTGCCTCAAAAGTTACCCTTTTTGAAGTACAAGTCTTCACAACATAAAGGGCACCATTACGGAGCATGAGATTTGATCAAATTATTCGCAGTTCTACTTGTCCAACGCCCCCGGCTGGGTGAGGGATAGAGGATGACACAGACACACACACACACACATTAATGGTAATGGTTATGGTAACCAGTAAGGTCCATGAATGGTTTTGTAACATCGATCAACTTTATGTGGAATATATCGCGAATTGGTTGCCTGTAAATTACTGATTACCAATTCACGATATATTTCACGTAAAGTTGAGTGATAATACAAAACCATTAATGGACCTTACTGACTACCATAACCATAACCATTAATGTTCTCAAACCATAAGTAAAAACGTTCTAATATAGTTCTCTTTCCGAAAATGTATGGAGAAAACAAGAATTTGGAATGGTAATAGTTCTTAACAACCCATTATTTGTAAGGTCCGCTTCCAAAAAACCATAACACATAAGGTTAAAACTTTATCACACAAACGTTCATGTAAAGTTCCATAACCATTTCAGTTGAAGTTTAGCAGGGATTATAAACAATTTATAACCATTATCGAAGGTCATGTGATGGTTCGCGTTTATGCGGGAATGTACGGAATGAACTGCACGAACAAATTTGACGTATGAGCGGTGCCGTGTTTACTAAAAATGAACACATGAATCATGCTCGCATAACATTTAAAAATGGCCCATCAACTTTTGTACACAAAGCTTGGTAAGCCCTTTTCGCGCGAACCGCAGTACTCCCACGCATAGCAACAACACTATCGGGTAGGGTTAATTCTCCCCTTCCCGATAAAGCTCTTGGTTTGCGTGGGTGTTCTTCGGTTCGCGTGAAAAGGACCTAACAAGTTGTTTATAAAAGTTGGTTGGCCCTTTTCTAAGGTTACGCGAGCATTACATCTTGTGTTCATTTTTAGTAAACATGGCTCCGCTAAAGCGTCAATTTTTTTCGTGAGTTCATTCCGTGCATTGGTCAATACAAGGTATGGAGATCTAGCCCTCACGTATGGGTTGGTAGAGGGAAAAAGCTAAACATTGCGGGAGAGGATGACCACGACGTCATAGCAGTCGAAAGAAAATTTGTGAAATATGAAGTACAGCAAATTCTAGATATGTTTGCATGATGATTGCACTGGCTTGTATGCTTTTGTAAAGTATCCGGGAACTATAATGTATTATTATAGGAACTTCTTACTTGGAAACAGGCAAAAACTCACCAGCAGGCTGGTATACAGTGTGCTAATAAAATAATCAGCAGGTATACAGTGTGTATACAGTGTGCTAATAAAATAATCAATACATTATCTCAACATTCAGTGGAAAAACATTCATAAATTTTGGCTTCATACAGAAATTCTATAATTCATATTCAATTTCCAATGCAAACGCTGATTGAAACAAACGTTATGACATAACTACGAGCGTGTTTGAGCGTCGAAAGAAGCAAATTGTGCGAAGCCGACTGAAAGTCGAGTGAAAAACGAACTGCACAAATACGTACAAGCCATCAATTCCACACCTTGTATATACCAGGTTGCTACAAAGGGTCAATAATTTGTTTACTTCTTCTTTTTGAAATATTCTTCGATCATCATTTTCTAAATGTATGGGTAAAATTCATTGGAAGTGCATGTCCCCACGCCAAAACTGCCCATGTTTCATAAATATCAACTGGTAGGTGAGGAAAATTTAACCATCTCTTTTCTTCCTTAATTTCAATACAACAGCAAATGTGATGTCACCAGTGTCACTCTGCCACCTTGTGTTAAACACATCAAAAACACTCTTCGGCACACTGAAACACACTTATATGAGAACTAATTGTTCAATATTTTCTGGCAACACTGCCTGTTTACATTAGTTTGATGTCTTTATTTGTTTTTGTTGATTTTTTTTTGAAGGATACATCTCCCTCCAGCAATCGGTAGGATTCCACAGAAAACTGATCGGGACATGGAAGTAACACTCACTCCCGTAATTGGGACCTGGGTACTGCGGACTCATTCAATGTGCTTGTCACTTGGGAGCCAGTCAGAACTGTCAAACGGGAGCCAAACATTCAGAAGCAACAAACTCAGTTACTGTTCTTACCTCTCGTCAAGCATTGCAATCTCATAAAAATGATTCATACTTTTTCATAACACATTCCTAATTGTAAGCTCACAGACAGAAACCAACTGACTCAGCTGAGTTTTCAATTGCAGTAAAACATACTTTGGCGAAACATGGTTGTAAACAAACTTTGATAGAGTCATGGGGGCTCGAGCACTCCTGGCTCAGAGCTTTTGGCGGGAATGAACTCAGAAAGAACAAAACAATTTTAAACTTGAAAAAATTTTCACGCAGTTTTCCATTGGCTTGCAAAATGGAATCGATTTACTCCGCAGTACTCAGATTGGGACATGGAAAAAACAGACAATTTAGCCTCTAGAACAAGCTAGAATATCTGCAACTGTGTATGAATGAAGGAGCGGATAATAATTATCACGTCAATTATTGACTGATAGCTAAAGAGAGATATTTCTTTCTAATTGGGTAGTCATTCCATATACACAATACCAAATCAGAGAGATACATCCTACTAGCTGCGGCATACCAAATAGTTCATATTCTTTGCGAAATTTAGATCCAGAGATTGCTTCGAAAGGGGCATGCTCGGCTGGGTTATCAGGGCTTGATTGCAACTGGAATTCGTTTGGGATGGATTCGAGAGGGCTTTACTGGTTTGAACCAGGATCTCAAGCATGAGAATTTGATGGTTGAGGGAGTACTTTTTGAGATTGGGTCGGACATATAATGCACACTCTTTTAGATAGATGATGCGGATGACGATCAGAGATGAGAATTTGAATTCTTGTAAGTTGTTTACGTTGACGTGTGCTTTTTACTGGGATTCCATGCTTATACCCCGTTCACATTACAGCCTATATCACGTAATGCAATGAACACTCATACATAGGATTTCCCGAGGGGGACGACTCTATCTACGATGCAGGAAAGATTGTGGTTTGCTGTGGCTAGCTGCGCGTA